TGCCACATAGATGGTACCCAATGTATCGACGAATAGTCCTTCAGGATACGATAATTGTGTCAGAATATTCCCTTTGCCTTGACCTCCAGCGACGACAATTCCTTCTTTTGCACCTTTATTCCATTTCATTACACGATGATTGCTGTAGTCTGACACGTAGACAGTCTGTCGTTGATCGACAAAGATGTAGGTCGGATAGTTGAGTTGATTGAGACCAGCACCTTTGCCATTGCCACCAGCTACAATAGTTCCATTCTTTTCTCCTATTTGATATCGTTTTACTTCATGTTTTTCAATGTCAGAGATGTAGAGATATCTCTGATCATCCATGGCCAATCCTTCACAATCGATGTTGTCGATGAGGATTTCTCCTTGAGTTGTGCCACTACAACGAGACCATCGTACGACTCGTTCATTCCAACGATCACAAATAATGAGACTATCCGTCTCTTTGTCAATCAACACATCGGTTGGATGATTCAATTGATCCAATCGATTTCCTTGGCCATTACCACCAGCTACTACTTGTCCATTCTTATCACCCATCTTCCATTGAATGATACGATGATTGGCGTAGTCAGCAATGACTATCGTTTGATCATCATCAACGAAAAGACCACAAGGCCTGTTGAGTTGATTGGTGGCACTGCCTTCTCCATTGCCTCCAGCAACAGTCACTCCATTCTGTTTCCAACGGGCATCGACTGAAATATTTAGAATTACTACAATGAACGAAAAAGAAAATGAATCGTCGTTTTTGAAGGGATTCCATCTCTCGTGAGAGCAGGCGCTACAAATATGACATTGATCTTTGAAAATGCTTGTTTCGCAGATAAAAATTCAGAAGCCTTTTCTTAGTTTTCTATGAGAAAAAAGGCTTTGGTAACGATTCTTACATCTATGTTACTTCTAGTTCTTGCCAAGGTCTTTTTGATCATAAAAATAACACCTTGAGATTGCTGTAAGGAGGTTCTCCAAGAAAGAGTAATACTAATTCTATGTAAGTTTTTGATAGAAGAACATAAGGATCTGAGGATTTTTTTCAGAATTGTAAGAATTCAGAATCTTTTTGACAGAATGATCATTTATATGAACATCAGAGAAGATTCTATTTGCATCTTGTGAGAAGAATATCGAATCGTTGAACAACAAAATATCAAACCTAATCCCTATGTTTTTTAGGAAACCTTAAGGATACATAATTTTCTGTATGATGAATATAGATCTGCCGAAGAATCTCCTAAGTATTTGCATAGGCTTTTGGTAAGTTATGTGAAGCTGTTCAAAGAACAATCGTGATGTACTCTGAGTAAGATCATGAGAAGGCTTAGATACAGGCGAAACTGAACAAAGTTGAGAGGATTCCACGCGAATCTATGTAATTTGAGAGGGCTTCTACTTTTGCAAATGTTGAAAAGATGGATGCCAATCCGAACGGAGTTCTCCAGTGACAAACATTGGGATCTATGGATTTTATGGGCTTTGAAAATCTAAAAATAATGAGTGTCTTCTATGAGAATCATGTTATAATCCTTATGTAGTACTTGTTCTGAGAAGTCTTCTGTAAGCTCGCATGTTATGGATATGTTCAGGAGGATCTGAAGAGTAAGTATTTTGAAATGGTTGATATCAGAGATGGGCAATTCCAACTCTAAAGTTGATGCTTTTTCTCATCAGAGTGAAAATGGAGTAGGAACAGGACAGAACGGAGGTGCCTATCGTTGAATTTTATGAGAAAGTTTATAAAACAATAAATTAATATGCTAGTAATTGATATCAAGGCTCTCGATTGTTTTTGAGAGTGGGGGGGGGGGGGGCTCACACTATTCATAAACTTTCGCAGACAGTCT